TCGGATCTGCATCCAATCTCATTATCCGATCCATATATAGCTCTTCTGGCTTAAATAAGCAACTTTAATTGAGGTTACCAGCTTTATACTGAATTCTGCATACAAACTAGTTCAAAGAGAGCTGATAACTAGGAAATACAGATTCCAGTAAGATCTGAATCAAAAGAAACACAACATCAAATCAAGCAGGAGACGATAGCTTCCCCCCACGAACGCAAAGCCAAAAACATGTGGGCAACCTGTGATACGGGATTTGATCCCTGAATTGTGTATGAGTAAAGGGTGCCAGCTCCCATTACTTCAGCTCGGCTGGAAATGCGCAGCTACAGTGTCTCCATATTACAATTAAATCGGGCAATAATGATCGTCCGGGAGCACAAACTTGACAATTGTTCCCGTCTCAGAAAAAACTTTGAGACTGGAATCTCAGGCTACTGCCATCCTTTTTGAAGTGATTTCCATGAAGTTATCTGAATTCCATCCTAGTAAGCCCTTATGCTGAAAAGCTGAACAACGGCTCGCGCTTTCAAAGGGCCACCTGCCAGCAGAATGGCAATACTTCTATATGAATTTCCAAGCGGCGGTGGTCTTGAGGTGATTAGAGCACCCTTCCGCTAGGGATTCGAATCTTTCGATTCATAGCGACTGTACAGGATCGGGTGCGACGAGTGCGGCACACGGTTTCGGTAGAGGAGACCGCACCCCGGGCGTAGTCAGTACCAACTACCGATCGATCAGAAACGGCGCCAACGATCCCAGAAGACCACAGAACGAGCAAAAGGAGTGAGGCCTTTATCGAATGGCTGTTTCTGCGCTTCTCCGATCTGTGAAGACGTCGTGAGAAGAACGGACTGAAATGAATCTGAACGCATCTTTTCGTTCTCAATTTCTGAAACCTCAGGATGTTCAAGCTGTCGGAACTCGTATTGATAACAACATGGTGAATGATAGCAATGATAACAACAACATCTAAAGCTGCTGGTCTTTCACTGTAGTCAGTCCTGTCGAATCTCCAGATTGATAGAACTGCTCGACTCTTAGTCGAGAAGTCTAGCTGCATCATCGTCATTGAAGAAAGTCACAAATCCGAACCGGATCAGATTTGGGTAGCGGAGAGCGCCGTTAGCTCAGGATCCTATGCTGATTCATTGCTGACAAAAAGTTATGGTAGCAACCTATTAGCTGCAGTTCACAGAAGTGAGGGTAACCCGCGGTTGTTGCCTCTTAAGCTCGGGCGACTGTTCGGATGGTCCAGCAGCACCCCGAAGATCTTGTACAAGTCCCTTGAGAAAGATGGCAATTTGATCCATGTGGAATGCCATGAAACTCTAATTCACCCATCAGCATATGAATGGGGAAACTGTTCACTGATTGTATGCACAAGGAATCAATTCACTTCGACAGTATGTACATGCCCTAATGGACAGCTATGGGATGTGTAAGTGTCTTTTAGTGTGCTCAACGTTGACACTGTACTGAAAACTCCATGAAAGCAAGTACAACAGGTATCCCTCCAGGTGGCAATAATTGGTGAGCACAGACTGACCGATGAAGTCCACCCATATCTCCACTAAGTGGCTATTATAGCATGAATAGTAATAATAAGTAGGTGGTAGGTGTAACTGATTGCCAAGATACTCTCATGCTCACAAACAAACTCGATGGAAACATATTCAAAAGAAGCCTTTCTACTGTCCTCTCTTACTTCGAAGACAAGTGCGCAGAGAAGGATAGGGCACCACTTCTGTGGACCCGTATATATGCTCAGAAACGATTCTGCAACAAAAGGAGTTGGAGTTCTTTGGGTAAACATAAGAATGGGTGGGATGCTGACTTCGTGCAAAAGTATTATATTCGTGGTTAGCGACTCCACGAGAGAGAAGACCTAGACTCTTACCTTAGGTGTTTGGGCTCTACTTCTTCCTCGAGCAACGCCTTCAGAATCACTTTTTCTTCGTCTCAGTTCTACGTCACGTGTACTTGGTGAATGGAGTTTAGGAGTTTTACCCAATTCTTTCGCATCATCGCTCTTTCGTTCTCGTTTCAAGTCCTTATCAATTTCAGCTTTTCGTTTGTCTGCATCGGATGGTTCGGATAATCCCTTGTGTTCGTCGTCAGATTTTCTCTTCACCTCCACACCCTCAGCTTTGTCCTCCTTCTCAGTTTCTTCGGTAGCCAATTCAGTTGCGACGTTTTTCGAAGTTGTCGCAGCCGAGACCCGACTCCTCTCTTTTTCGCTGGCCGTTTCCTGTATTGTGTCTTGTGTATGAGCTAATTCGATCGCTTCACTGCCCATTGTGACAGTCGATTAGCAAATGAAACATACCCAACCGAGTCCCTCAATCAATGGCACTAATTTCCGTGAAAACCAACTCATCACCGATTGATACACTTGCAAATTGCAAGCGCAAAAATCGGTTGATCACGAGTGGTAGGGTTGAACAAAGATGTCTTTAAAGGCTTCCCTGAACAGTTCAATTTTCATATTACTTTGCGAAATCAGTTAAACTATTACCAAAATGAATTTCGACTGTGAATGCGCCTAATACCCTCACAGAAAATATTATTTTAAAGCGTTAAAAGCGGATTTTCCCTGGCCATCGATCAAATGGCGCCTAGATCGATCGAACCCTGCATCCTTCCCATCTCGGCTGACTGATACAACCAACCACTATCATCTAGGAGAAAAAACTTTAATTGGAATTGGTAGCTGTAGCGTGTAGCTCTTCGTATCTTCCCTATACCAACCGAAACGCTTGTTTCCAATCGGCCCAAGCTTGGCCGCTTTCAAACTGTTTTCTCCTTCTCAGCCTCCTATAGGGCTTCAATTTTCGAGAAACAGGAAGCAAGTAAGGAGCAATGAAAACGATGAATGACTTATAAACCAAGGGTATACAAAACCTCAAGACTGTTCCAGTATCAAACCCATTTCTAAGAGGAAATAGTTATGCCGAGCAAATGTTCATAAACTATTATTTTTAAAAATCTGCCTCTATAAGATTGGGACGAACATCCAAGAAAGCCTGTACAGAAACATAGCATATGGAGATGAATCTAATGACAATAAAAAAGGAATGCACAACCGGAGGGAGCTCCTAGAATTCAGACGTTTTCAAGTGCTTGTTCAATCGCCCAGGGCATACAATAGGGCTGAAGAAGGGCATGGGAAGTAAGCCTATCAGTCAGCTTACCTTCACTGGATTGTAGCTGCACAAGCGGTGACTACTAACCCTTGGGACGAAAAGATATCAGTAAGGTTTCTATTGAGAACAGCAACTTTTACCATCCATTGAATTGATTTTAAAAACCGAAAATACCAAAAACCGATTGCAGCAATTGATACTCATTACGGGACTGGATTCCCAAAAACTACTGTGAAGCGACGTTTCTTACTTTAGCTAATGCCTTTATTCAAATTCACACTGTTACTAAATGTATTAATAACATATCAAACTCGCATTAATAACAATGTTAGACAAATACGAGCTACTGGCCAAAAAAAATTAATACAAAATCAAATCAAAACTGGTAAGACGATTCGAGAAGTACGGGCTCTCAAGACAAAAAAAATTAAAAAAAAAAAAGAGTTAAACGAGTACAACGATAAGATTCACTGCAAACTGGCAGACTTAGCCACAAATGAGCCCTGTATCATTTAAAGCTACTTTCCTATAGAGAAAATATACACTTGTAAACTTTTCAGAATAAAACATTCCGAAAAAGAAAAGGCCTGTAATACTATCGAAATCAAACTCGCCTTTTAGTTGATAAAAACATTAACAAAGTGACAAGTTAGGTACCTCGATATACCTCATCTTGAAACATAAGGTTGAAGAGATTGCCAGGCAATTCGCTCGTTGGCGCGCGACAAAAGTTTATCGAGGTCTGAACGCTATTCATGGGTTCCGAGGCCTGACCATTACCGAATGGAAAGTAATATCCCCGGAACTGGCAGGTTCAAACTCAACATAATGCTTGGCATGGTCATCGCCTCCAAATAGCCTTCAAATAGACAATAAGGTGAGAATGACATGTTTACAATTCGTCTAAACGCCGTACAGGGCTCTGCCCCGCATGCATCGCTTACGACAAACTATAAACACGATCTCATAGACCTAGTACAATAATCAAGTTCATAAAAATCGGTGATCCATTAACGTTTTCGGCTATCAAATGATGCAGTGATCTCTTCCACGCTCTTGCCTTTGGTCTCAGGTACGAATCGCCATGTGAAAATGATGAAGAAAGTGAGAAATGCGGTGAACACCAGGAACGAGTACTGAGCGAGGGCATTCTGAAAAGAGAACCGTTGGCTTCCACGCTTCACGCTCCATGCAACACTGGTGGCTGGTGCTGAACTAACTGTAACATTGCTGAACTTACATTGAGGGAGAGGAACGTCAGTCCAACTACCAAGTTAGCTGTCCAGTTGACCATTACAGCAATCGAATTAGCATTACCACGAGCACTTGATGCGAATATCTCAGATACGAAGAACCATGGAATAGAACCTGAATGTGATTTTATTGATTGATGGTTGGTTTGCCCGAGCGCCAATCGATATGTTCATTCCAAACTCTTCTGAAGCCGCAGCCTTTTTTCAAGCCTATCCGCATTAACGCCGGCCGCGTCGCACTGGCGCGCAACGCAAGGCCTCCACCAATTATTTATTGAACTCGACTTCAGAAATCTTCTTTTCGTTGAACAAAACCAAAGTGAATATTCGACGGTTCACTGACCTGGCCCAGTAGCGAATGAGATTACGAATAGCAGCACGAAAACGATAGCACCATAGCTGGCCCACTGGTGACCGCTGGCAGTCAGTGAGAGGGCAACCACCAGTAGAATTGTTGAGATCCACATTCCGCTCATACCCATCAACATCAACGAACGACGTCCGAACTTTGGATGATCAACCTGAAGTAAAACCAATGAAGAAAATACATTGAGGAAAAACTCAGAGCTTTAGTAGGGTTTCTTTTACTCGTGCAGAAATCAGGAAAAAATCGCTAAAAATGGAACAAAAAAAACTGACAATAAGCCCGTTAGGCCAAAAGAAGATTAAAAAATATATAAAACAGCAGTAATACCGCCTACTTCCAATAAAAAACATAATTAAAAATAAAAACCAAATCAAAAAGTGAAAAAGCAAAGATATCAAAGCCATTCTTCTAAACCTACCAGCCACACTGATATGACGGTCATGATCACATTCACTGTACCCATACCAATCGTTGCATAGACAGCACCTTCGTTGCTGAGACCGGCCTGCTTGAAAATTACCGTCGAGTAGAACATGGCCACATTGATACCTGGAATACCAAAATGGCAATAAAAGTATCGGACCATTGAAACGACTCAGTTCAAAACAGACAAACAACTTGATTTCGCTCACTTCCTTGCCACACTACTAGAAGCAAAATAACCAAAGTACTATGACTAGTCACTCCGACGCATCAGGCAAAATTACGATAAAAATGGTTTCTGAAATTCCAAACAAGGACCACTCAGCGAGCTCAAGTATGTCCCATGATGCACTGTTGGATCGAAAAACGAAATGGATAGGGCCGAGAAGGGCTCAAAGACCGCTTCTCCGAGGTCCACATTACCTTTTCCATACCATTACCATAGCATCCTGCTATTCTCGGACAACTCCCTGTTTTCAGCACTTTTTAGAAAACCATATTTCTCGAATTTTGCGGATTTTCTCGCTTTCTCCGCCAATGATGCGCTATTCTCCACCAACATCTTCGCTTTTTAACTTGTAAGGGGTACCTCAGAATTATCGCGAGCTGTGCCTTTGACTATCATGTACAGCTAATTAGCCTGACAATGCTCAAGTTTCCAAGAAGATTTATTAGACTCGTTTGGAAATAGTTACCTGACAGCTGCTGGGCGAGCATCATCATTATAGCGATGGTCATGGGCCAAAGCAGTGATCCACGGAACATGTCCAGCATTGATGGACGTTGTTGAGCTGCTGCACCGCTGGCGGCCGCTTCTTCACGGAACATTTCGATCTCGGCACTCACCTAGACATACCTCATACCTTTTGTAGCCTACGACGTTAAAGTCCAAGCAACTCACATCATTTGTTCCTCTCAACTTCTTCAAATCTCGGGTGGCTTTATCTTGCTGCCCACGAACACACAGGGTGTATTTGGGTGATTCGGGGATCATCGGCAATGTGATCACTTGCAACACTGATGGTACGACAGTGAATGCGAAAATGAGAGGCCATCGGTCAGTATTACCAAGGATGTACGGTAAGCCAAGTATCTGAAAACAGGGCTTGGAATATCACGTGACCACAGATAACAACTTTTAAATCCGATCAATTTGACCTTATTCATTACTGCTATTCCTTTCAAACACAATATTTCCATGTTTTTCATTGAAAGCTTCTTCCCTCA